CTCTTCAGTTTCACCATTTCCTATTTTATTTTTAGTTTATTTTGGTTTCAAGTGACATCAAGACACACACACATTAAATCACCTTTCTCATGATGCTAGCTCTGATCTGATGAAAATAAATAAATAGATTAAAAAAAATGAAAGCCCTAAAACCAGAGAGACAGGACTTTGGACTAATGTCTGTTTCCACACTGCAGGTCAACTTTGGGTTTCTCCCGTCGTTGTAAACAGCGTTTCAAAAACACGGTCTTTGATGTTTAACTCCTTTGGTCTTTTTTCATCAGATTTTAATGAAAAACAGGTTTCGGACTCAACTCGGGGGAAATCTCACTTTTGATCAATCAGGTCAAGTCCACCTTCAAAGACACTTCCTGATTCATAATTTTTGCACAAACCCCTGATTCTTTCTTGTGTAGAGCAGCAGATACTTGTCGCTATGCCTCACATTTTACACACAGTTTCTACTTTAGAGATGATTTATAATAATGCAAAAATATGAGGTAATATAATTGCTTAAATCAGGGTCTTTTTTTATAGTAATTGTAGAACATTCTGACTTTCTTATGACAGGATTTTCCGATGGGACAAAGTCATCGTTTGGCCAACGAGTCCCAAGTCAAGTCTCAATCCTACGGTTTGAGTTTTGAGTCTTTTTGACAGAGGAATTAAGTGTATTTAGATTTTGTATGGTTTTAAGATTTATTAAAACAACCTTATCTTCTGGGGAAAAACATTGCTCACAAATATAAAAATACACATGTAATGAGATTTCCACAGAACAGGTTGACCTCAAGTTGAAAAGCAGATCTGAAAAACTGGACCTATTTTCTTTTACTTTTAAAGTCAGAGTTATGGATGTTAAAGGAGCTATACCTGTTTCTGTAAGGTTTTAATGTTTAGCCCCGCCCCCAACTCGCTCACAGGCTTCTCATTTCCCCTACGCTCTCCTCCCACGGAGCCATCTAGTTTTATTTGCGATCTATATGTTAACATTAGCATTAGCACAACTTAAGCTGTACAACGAACACTGATGAAATGGTACAAAAGCAACGCACTGCTAACACAATATATAACTGAAAGATTACCGCTAGTTCTGCGTCCGAATGTGGTCCGAGCGTAGATAGTCCGAGCATAGATAGTCCGAGCGTAGATAGTCCGAGCGTAGATAGTCCGAGCGTAGATAGTTCGAGCGTAGATAGTCCGAGAGTAGATAGTCCGAGCTTAAAGCAAAGGAAGGTTTCTCACCCATCATCTGTACTTCTTAGCAAGTTTTCCCGACGTTTCGTCCTCAACCTAGCGGACTTCTTCAGGGAATGAATTCTCGGCCCGCGTTGGAGATTTATAACCTATGGGTGTGGTAAGCCACACCCTAATCCTGATACTAACTCGTAAACAATCTAAGGTCTGCTTGATGTAGAAGGGAGCAGGTCTAACGACCCTGCTGAGGCTAACGACCCTAACTCATTAGCATGTCACAGACCTATTGTCTGCTGGGATGCTCAAGTGGAGTGCAGGTTTCACCCCTCCTAACTCATTAGCATGTCACTGACCTTGTCCCAAGTTAGGGCGTTGTTTTTAGGATGTCGTCATAGATGCGAGGCAAAACAAATCTTAACCCTCCTCCTCTGTTAAGAGAAGGTTTTTGTTTCCTCACAAAAATGGCTTCTTTCACCCCTCTCTCAAACCAATTCTTCTCCCGAGCCAGAATTTTAACCTCTGTGTCATCCACCGTGTGGTTGGAGGCCTTGAGGTGGAGATGAACAGCCGACTGTGGCCCACTAGAGTTTTCTCTACGATGTTGGTAAAGTCGTTTCTGTAGAGTTTGTTTGGTTTCTCCAATATAGTGGTCAGTGCACTCCTCTTCACTACATTTAATTGAATACACCACATTGCTCTGTTTGTGTCTGGGTGTTTTGTCTTTGGGATGCACTAATTTCTGTCTTAAAGGAATAGTTCACCGTTTTTACATACTGACATATGTTCTTACCTTACCTTAGACTAGTTAATAACTCTGGTCTTAGTCCGTGCGCTCTGTCATGCAAACGGAGCAAAAACGGGAGCACAAACGCAGCCTCCTCTGGTCACTGTGTAGGACCAAAAATTAGCTCCCGCTAGAAGCTACCAAACTCTTCCAAGTGTTCCCTATTAAATGTATATAGTTACGTGACGTGTTACACTGCAAAGTATAGTAACACAGAAATGTAACAGTCGATTTTCTCAGCGGATAAAACGGGTACTATATTGTGAGGCGTAGTAATCTGAGGAGCGCTACGTCCGCGCACTAACTTCTCTCCGGAGACTTCTCTCTCGCTCACTTCCGTCAATAGAAGCAGCGTGACTTGTAGTACGGAGAGAAGTTAGTGCGCGGACGTAGCGCTCCTCAGATTACTACGCCTCACAATATAGTACCCGTTTTATCCGCTGAGAAAATCGACAGTTACATTTCTGTGTTACTATACTTTGCAGTGTAACACGTCACGTAACTATATACATTTAATAGGGAACACTTGGAAGAGTTTGGTAGCTTCTAGCGGGAGCTACCTTTTGGTCCTACACAGTATACAGAGGAGGCTGCGGTTGTGCTCCCGTTTTTGCTCCGTTTGCATGACAGAGCGCACGGACTAAGACCAGACAGGTACGTATTAACTAGTCTAAGGTAAGGTAAGAACATATGTCAGTATGTAAAAACGGTGAACTATTCCTTTAACGTGTTGAAAGGTTTGAAATACACAGGGATTTTGTGTTGCCTAAAGATTCTTTGTAGTTTCTCTGAAACTCCCGCCACATACGGTAAGGACACCCCTCTCCTCCTACTTTCTTCTGTCTGTTGGACTGTGTCTCTGGCCTTTCTCGTCCTTTGGGCTTTAGTAAAAGACCACTTGGGGTAGCCACATCTGGAAAGTGCTCTCTGAACATGTTTGGTTTCTCTGTTCTTTCCCTCCGAGCTCGTGGGGACCTGGTGGGCTCGGTGTTGAAGCGTTCTAATGACCCCGAGTTTGTGTTGTAGCGGAGGATTTGAATCAAAGGCCAGGTACTGGTCAGTGTGAGTGGACTTTCTGAAGACCTCAGTCTCTAATTGTCCGTTCTCCAGGATGATGAGCTTACAATCTAGAAAGGCCAGTTCACTCTCCTTAGCATCCTCGCGAGTGAAATTTATAAAAGGGTCCACCGAATTAATGTGTTCTGAAAATGGTTCCACTTCCTGTTTCTTTAACTTAACCCATGTATCGTCTACATATGGAAACCAATGGCTTGGCGCTGTCCCTTCGTAAGAGCCCAGGGCTTGTTCCTCCAGTTTCTCCATATACAGATTGGCCACTATAGGAGAGACTGGGGAGCCCATCGCACAGCCATGAATCTGTCTAAAGAAGGTGCCTCTAAATTGGAAATACGTGGTGTTAAGACACATTTCAAGTATTTCGCAGATGTGGTCAGCTGTTAGTTTCGTTCTCTCCCCTAGTGTGGCGTCTTTCTGTAGGCTTTCTCTTACAGCAGGTCTAACGACCCTGCTGAGGCTAACGACTCTAACTCCTTAGCATGTCACAGACCTATTGTCTGCTGGGATGCTCAAGTGGAGTGCCGGTATTCACCCCTCCTAACTCATTAGCATGTCACTGACCTTGTCCCAAGTTGACCTTGTCCCTCCCTGACCCCGCCCCCCTCTGACAGCCACATTGGACCGGCAGCCGGAGGTGCTCATCCCGAGAAAAAAATCCGTGGTTTATACAAAGCACAATGTTTTCTATCCAACTGTCTGTTGTAACCTGAATGTTATTGCTCTCTGCTGTTTATTCTACTGTTTGTCGCATGGCGCCGGAAAGATGGCGCCGTGGCAAGAGCTCTGGTGTGTGTCGCCTTCTCTGTCTGGCGCACACCGGGGTAGTCTTGCACAGTTTTTCCAATGTGGTTTTACTGCAAATGGCAAATAAATGAATCTGAATCTGAATCTGAGTTAGGGCGTTGTTTTTAGGATGTCGTCAAAGATGCGAGGCAAAACAAATTTTAACCCTCCTCCTCTGTTAAGAGAAGGTTTTTGTTTCCTCACAAAAATGGCTTCTTTCACCCCTCTCTCAAACCAATTCTTCTTGCTTCTTGCTAAGAAGTACAGATGATGGGTGAGAAACCTTCCTTTGCTTTGACTAATCCCTGTACGACTGAGAGCTTACACAAACTCAGTCCGAGCTTAGATAGTCCGAGCGTAGATAGTCCGAGCGTAGATAGTCCGAGCGTAGATAGTCCGAGCGTAGATAGTCCGAGCGTAGATAGTCCGAGTGTAGATAGTCCGAGCGTAGATAGTCCGAGCATAGATATTCTGAGCGTAGATAGTCCGAGCGTAGATAGAGGCTTCTGCAAAAGCAGAACTTGCCTTAATTTGACCAGACAATAGTCAAGCCTGTTTTCTGTGCGACTTTCTGCATAAGACTTTGCTGTGAATCTGCTGTAAATCCACTTGTCTCTCCTTATCGTTCTTATATTTTTAGCATTTACATCTCAAAGGCCTGGAGATGTTCACACCACCGCGTTAGCATCTCTAATTAGCTTGTGACAGGAACATGACTGCAGACAACCACTGCACTTGTGTGGGGGGTTGTGCGTTATAAAAAGACGACCAAGTCAGAGTTGCGGTCACAATATAGAAGTCGGCAGCCGAGCAGACAGGCACAGAGGCTTTCTAAGACGGAAAATAAGTCTGCTCCACTGTGGGAACACAATACCGGATGGCGTGCGCTGCTAAATAAATTATCGTGGTGCTATTTTAAGCTAAAGTGTTAATGCAGTAATCCTCTGAGTTGCAAAAAGCCACCAGAGGAATATGGTGTTGGCTTTATCTTCACCCCCTCCATCAGCTCTATCTCCTCTGCCTTTCATGTGCTGAAAATCCTTCGCTTTTTGCAGCCGCACTACTTTGCTTATCGTCGCCTCGCGCTCTCTCTTTGGGGACTTCGCCGAACTCCATTGTCACAAACAATAACAGACTTTTTGAAAGGGGAGGGGAAAACATGTCAGAGGAGAAAAGTGAAGTGCTGTGGGGATATACGGGGCCACAACAGGTTATTTTAGTGCCGCAGACTGGAGAAGAGGACGAGTGTGTGTGTGTCTTTGTGTGTGCATTTATGTGTGTGTGTGTGCTTAGTTTGCTGGTATCTGGTTGATACAGATTTTAATTAAATTGGTGGTTTGCAAAGTTGGAGGAGCAGTGCCCAGGCTGTAATTCTGAGAGTGATAAGATAAATTAAAATGCATGGATAAAAGTACAGTTTTTTTGACAAAACAAATTTTAGGTTCATTCAAATAACGTTAACAAATCTAATAATAAGACCGCGATTTTCCACTTTATGTTTTGGTTATCTGAAGTTCAAAGCAAACACATATGGGTTTAGCGTGGCAGATGCTTAGGGAACTGCTGTTGTTTACCAGGGTATACCAGGTGGCACAGTGGCTGAGTGGTTAGCGCTAGACAGATGGATAGATAGTTGGATATACTTACGCACAAGGGGAAACGTTGGGGATCATCTGTAGCTAAACAGAACAGACAAGAGACGTTTTCATAAGATCATAAATAACTACGTCCAGGGTTCACATCCCAGTCGTAACATGGCCTTTCATAGTAGAGTTTGCATGTTCTCTGTGTGTCTGCTCCACTTTCCTCCAGTTACTCCGGTCTCCCATTCTACTAAAAACATATACTATAGCTCCCCTCTCTCTGGGACCCGAAAACCCCTGAAAAAGAGATTCTACTAATGATTCTTGCTTCTTTTTTATCCTAAAATTTGGGATTTTATTTTATTTTAGCAAAGAGTTATTGTTCACTTTTCTTGTGCTGTGTCTGTGCTTCTCTTTCTCTGTTCTGTAACTGGTGACGCAACACTGAAATTTCCCCACCGGGTGATCTTAATCTTATTGCTATACACAGGTTTCAATTCATTGTTACTGATTATTTTTACAATTGACTGAGTGAGAACAAAAAAGGGCCTATGATCGACCCCTGTGGCACCCCAGCATGACGCCCCACACAGAGATTTATCAATACGTTTCCTTTTTGAGCCCGTTATTATGTGAACTAAAGAGGAATGAAGATGTTAAACAGACTCAGTGCCACAGAATCGGATCGGGAAAGCTGAGTTTAACAGGCTTTGTGTATAATTGAGCACCCCCGATGTCTTATCAAGAAGCTGCTCATCTTTTCTAATAGCGCAAGGGCCGATGTGTAGTGGTTGTAATTAGTGTTGAGCTGAAAGCATTTGACCACCCACTTCTCTGCCATTACAGAAAACAAGAAGCACGTTTAAAAGTCTGTGTAACTGCAGCCTCTTTACGGCCATCTTTTAAGGAGACGGGTGATTGGCTGCACAGAAGGACCCTTGACACTTGACATTAACACTTACTGTGTTCAGAGTAAATGCTACGGCTTTTTAGCTTTTTAAGAGCTTATGAAGAAAACACAGTCACTTTGGGGGTTGACATCTCGATGATTCTGATCACGGTTTAATCCGGGATTCAGAAAATATAGAAACTGTTTTAATCTTTCGTCATTTGGAGGATTTCATGAACCACTTAAATTCAACACATATCAGATATTTCAACTGTTGAAACATGGGGAATACAATGATGAAAACACACACAGGTTGGTCGTAAAAAGACAGATTAGGTTAAAAATATTCATAAATGTCCTTAAATACTTACTGTTACTTTAACTTTTGAATGTTCTGGAAACATCAGCTCTGTGTTTTAAAATTTTTATTTTTTTCTTTCTTTTTTCTGCCTGAGATGTTGCAGCAGTTCAGTGTTCATGATTTTACACGGGTCCAGACCAGAGCAGAGAGGATTCATGGTTTTACACTGGTCCAGACCAGAGCAGAGAGGATTCATGGTTTTACACTGGTCCAGACCAGAGCAGAGAGGATTCATGGTTTTACACTGGTCCAGACCAGAGCAGAGAGGATTCATGGTTTTACACTGGTCCAGACCAGAGCAGAGAGGATTCATGGTCCCAACCAAGTGGATCGGGTAAAAATCCACTGGAGGAATGCTAACTTTTTGAAAAATGCTAACAGAGTATTTAGCATTTTACTTTGGACCAGAGCAGAGAAAATGGTCTGAACCAAGCTCCACCTCTGCTGCTGTGACCTGAACGACTGATGTATTTTATTATTACTAATGTAGCTTTCTAGAATTATCAATTCATTTGTTTTGTTTGTTTGAATGGATGAGTTTCTGCTGCTACTGGACACCTGCATTTTTCATTAAAGTATCCATCCATCTAAATGTCCTGGGTCATCATCATGATCCATAGACCCTGCTACTTTCACGAGGATCCGCTCAAAAACAGATCCGAGCCATGTCCAATCAAAAAGATCCAGCATGTTCTCTGCATGTGATGTGTCTCTCCAAAAATGTGGGTGTGAAATATATGTTTCGCTCTCTGCTGTTCAATAACTGTCATGAAGGAGCGCGGGGAGATCGCAACAGCACAGTGTTTTATCACGATCTCCCACCCCACGGTTCTGACACCTCAACACCTCTGAACACCTCTTTCACCACCGCGGACGCACAAATCCTGCAATTACTTTCCATTACGCATGAGCTTAAGTCGCAGCTCATAATAAAACAGCAGAACCTTTGATCCAGACGCAGATATGTGACACTTTTGAGGAGTTTAATCCAGTTTGTCCCACTGTGCTCATGCTGTAATTTGCCCACGTGAGAAACCTTCTGCTCTCTCGGATGGACAGGCTGGAAATACACAAACCATTGTTGTTTTACTCGACAATTGTAGTTATGTTCATCTCACTCTGGTTTTTGGGGTCTCTTGTTGCCGTGGAGATCGATGGATAGATTCTGTGTTAATCCCGTAGAAAAAAAATCAGAACAAATCAGCAAATGAATACATGATTCTAAAATCACAGCAGCAGAGGTCGACGTACGCAGAGTCTGTTTGGTTCGGACCATTGTCTCTGCTTTGGTTCAGAGTGAAATTCTGAATGCTTTATTACAGCGGCTGAGTGGCACGGTGGCTGAGTGGTTAGCGCTCTCGCCTCTCAGCAAGAAGGTCCTGGGTTCTAATCCCGGTCAGGACAGGGCCTTTCTGAGTGGAGTTTGCATGTTCTTCCCGTGTCTGGGTAGGTTTCCTCCGGGTGCTCCGGTTTCCCCTACCACTAAAAACATGCACAATAGGTCTGAATGTAAATGAGAGAGTGAATGGATGGTGTTGGGTCAGAGGCTTTTATGGACCAGTGTGTTCTGGACTCGCTTCTGTCATCACCGTGTGTGGAATGATTGGAACAATATCTGACTCTGAACATTGGAAAGGGCTTTGGGATAACTTGGTCTGTAAAATGCGCTATATAGATAAACATTACTTACCTACTTTATTACATTAAAGTAACACTCCTCCAGTGGATTTACACTTGATCTACTTGGTTCAGGCTAATGCGTCCTCTCTGATCTAGTCTGGATCAGTGTAAAACCGTGAAACCAGAGTATAAAAAAAAAACAGGTACAATAATAAAACACAATTGATTCAGAGTCACGCAAACAACAGGATTAAAAAGTACATAGAGAGAAGCGAGAGGGCTCACTCCTCCCCTGGCCCCTTTTACCTGTCTGTGATACACGTACGCTAACAGCTGTGAAGTCCATTTCTTATGCCGTGTTGTGTTGCAGATGAAATCCTGAGTTGTAGCTGTAGAGACGGACATTTACACCCTGCAGCCGCTTGCATCACCGCTTTCACACTCGTTCTACCGCGGCTACGAAAGAACTTAATCCCAATTTGACTACAAAGAACTGTATGTCCCTCGTCTGTGAAATGGGAGAAGTTTCGGCGGAATATGAAAATGTTGAAAGCTCGTCCGTTTTGTGAAATGACCTCCTGGAAAGTCTCATAATAAACGGTATTGTTGTGAATCAGTAAAGGTGTTCTTTCAGTGCCAGCTTTTTCTCAAATAATTAAATGTATTTTTTGGCAATATTTTAACTAGTGCTGTCCAAAAAATTGCGCTTTTATTGCAAATGAAAATATTAAAATTGTCATTTTTTTTTCTCAATCATTCATTTTCTTCCCCTTAATCCATTTCTGGGTCGGGGTAGTGGCAATCAGAGCTGCACGCAGGGGCTTCAGGCCAACTGTGGTTAAGTGTCTTGCCCAAGGCCACAGCAGACATCAGTGGGAGTGGGTGGAGACGGTCTTGTCGTGAGATCGAACCCACAACCTTCAGATTCAGATTTATTTATTATGTCGTCTCCCAACAGAGAAATGTGACATTAAAAAAACAAAAAACCCAGACAATACACATAAACATTGATTGACACAAATACACAATAACCAGGTGTTATTGCCTCCTCCCAGAATGCATCAGTTCATTAGTGAGTAGAGAACATGAGTGGAGTCTTGATGATGTTCTTGGCTTGTCTAAAACCTGACTGCTCAGAAACAGTCTGAGGTGAGATCCGAGCGGACAGCCACACTCCCAGGATCTGCCCGGATAGTTTTTGCTGCCTCTGGATCTCAAAACAGACGCAATACTCGCTCTATAGAAGGTCAACATAACATTTTGGCTCAGTCCAAATACTGATAATGAAACCTGCTCAATTATTTCATTAATTTGTGAGACCAACTTTACATTAGAAAAACAATAGGGAAAAAAAACAGGAATTGAAGAAAAAAAAAAATCATAAAAACAAATTATGTGTCATCTACATCTTAGAAAATCAAAAGAATCAAAAATATTACATGGATTTCAAAGTTCAGGCTTTCGTAAGATCGATGTAATAATCCTGTGTTTGGAGGAAGAAGGTTTTTAATGTTTCTGCCGTTTATTTGTGTCCTATTTGCAGACGAGCTCCTCATCAGAGACCACAGAATATATTCCACTGCATATCACATTTTGACGAGAAACCACGGAGCATGTTCTACAAGTAAACTGCGTCCACTTCCTCTGCTGTTTTTGCATCGAGCAGGACATAATCCAAAAACACAACATTTAGATCCGTTTGGAAAATGAAACAAAGACAAAAATGGTATTTTGTACCCTGGTCTTATCCATCCGTACTCTCCTGTCAATCATCATGTCCTGCATGTAACGTCTGGTCCCTGTATTTGTGATTACAATCGGTTGAATTTCAACCGACCAATCAGAGAGCGCGGGAGGCGGGTGTTGTAGTTAGATGTGGGTGACGTCAAGAGTTTGCGTCGAACGGGAAGGTCGTAGTTTGGCGAAGAGTGTGATAGTAAAGTATTCTGGTCTGGTTCTATCAAGAATATGAAGAGGTCGATGGTTCTCTTCTGGGTGCTTTGCCCCAGGGCAGCTGTGGCTACACTGTTAAACCTCTGCCTCCCTGTGTGTTTTTAGACTTGTGTGTTTTTAGACTTGTGTGTTTCTAGTCTCTGGTCTCAGGTTTTACTTTTACTTTTACTATTTATTTCCCTTTTTGCATTTAATTCAATTATGTTTTTTGCTTTTGGGTTTTTCCCTTTTTTCATTTTAAGACTCTCCTGCTTTAATAATAATGCATCGGTTTTATATAGCGCTTTTTTGGACACTCAAAGACGCTTCACATGTGTCATTATTCATTCACTCCAAACACGGTGGTGATAAACTACTACTGTAGCCACAGCTGCCCTGGGGCACACTGACAGAAGCGAGGCAACCAGTATGTGCCATCGGCCCCTCCGACCACCACCAACCATTCACACGCACACCAGACTCATTCTAGGCAATGGGGGTGAAGTGTCTTGCCTAAGGACACAACGGCAGTTTGGCACTTTACAGCCGCAGCCGCCCCACTGTGGCTGGTGTTCCCAGAGGTTAAGTGTCTTGCCAAGGACACAACGACAGTAGTCAGTGGGAGTCGATGGTGAAAGTCTTGAGCGGGGCTTGAACCCACGACCTTCTGGCTCAAAGGCCAACGCTCTACCAACTGAGCTACTGCCGCCCATGTCAGTAGCCCATGTTTAGTCTCTCCATATTGTGTGTAAAATCTTGAAACGCAGAAGGTTTTAAGTCTCCAGTAGTTTTGTGTTGCCCCTTTTCCATTCTCGTTCTTGTGTCTGCTGCAGTAGATCAACACATCAATACATGTCTGTGGGTGAGATAAATCACATAGAAAAGTTTTATTGATCTAAATAATACGACACACATATAATATCGTCCCCTTCTATAGTTTGATAAATAAAGCCATATTTTCTGCCTTGGTGTGGTGGTGGATCTGATCGATGAGTGAATCCATATAAACGGGGAAGTGCAGCAGCAGAGTGGCCTTCTGTTTAAAGGCTAATGGGAGACTGCTGTCCGGAATAACAAACCAAATCGCTCAATTTGAGACAATGAGCCAGAGCTAGACTTTGAGCATCTGCATCTGATTGAATGGTCACTGTTCCATTCGATTCTATTCAATTTATTTTGTGTATGGACTTAAATCACAACAGCAGACGTCTTAGAGGACTTTACAAAGTTGTGATTCAGCCGCAAAGGATCAGAAAATGAAGACGTAGGAGGAGAGGGAGGAACGCTGTCCATAAATGTTTATTCATGTTCAGAAATGTCCTGATACAGCTTTACACTATCACCCACACATATAGTCTATGATCAACTAAAGCAACACCGAAATGGCAATGGAAAGGTCAAGGTGCACTGTTTTAATCCCCGTAGGACAATTCAACCCTCTGCATTTGACCCTGATGCCACTAAGGCTTACGTCAAAGCTTATGTCCTCAGACCGTCCAGCAACAACTCAAGGAAGGACTCAAGGAAGGACTCAAGGAAGGACTCAAGGAAGGACTCAAGGAAGGACTCAAGGAAGGACTCAAGGAACGACTCAAGGAACGACTCAAGGAACGACTCAAGGAACGACTCAAGGAACGACTCAAGGAACGACTCAAGGAACGACTCAAGGAACGACTCAAGGAACGACTCAAGGAACGACTCAAGGAACGACTCAGGAACGAAAGAAGTATTTGAAAAGAGCATGTTTTTTTAATGCTTTTGGAAAGATTGGGGCCCTTTAATTATGACAGATTAAGGCCCTTTAATGATGACAGATTAGGGCCCTTTAATGATGACAGATTAGGGCCCTTTAATGATGACAGATTAGGGCCCTTTAATGATGACAGATTAGGGCCTTTAATGATGACAGATTAGGGCCCTTTAATGATGACAGATTAGGGCCTTCAATGATGACAGATAAGGGCCCTTTAATGATGACAGATTAGGGCCTTTAATGATGACAGATAAGGGCCCTTTAATGATGACAGATTAGGGCCCTTTAATGATGACAGATTAGGGCCCTTTAATTATGACAGATTAGGGCCTTTAATTATGACAGATTAGGGCCCTTTAATGATGACAGATAAGGGCCCTTTAATTATGACAGATTAGGACCCTTTAATGATGACAGATTAGGGCCCTTTAATGATGACAGATTAGGGCCCTTTAATGATGACAGATAAGGGCCCTTTAATGATGACAGATTAGGGCCCTTTAATGATGACAGATAAGGGCCCTTTAATGATGACAGATAAGGGCCCTTTAATGATGACAGATAAGGGCCCTTTAATGATGACAGATTAGGGCCCTTTAATGATGACTTAACATTAAAATCTGACATATTTCTACTTTAAAGCTATATTTTCTTGTCCTTTTCACACCCGCAGTCATCGTCATGCATGTTTGAGCTGTTTATATTCTCCTGAAGAGAGCTGCTCCTGTGACCAACGGATTACTTTGTGTGATTGATTGATTAGAGCAGAATCTATTGAAGAAATGTGTGTGCGGCGACTGTCGGCTGTAAACACGTCAATAAGAGAGGTTTGTGCTCCGTGCTTTCAGGCTGTGATCGAGTTTGGATTTAAACTAGGCCTGCGAGATCGCAAAGACATGGCTCAGATTTTTCAGAAAACCGTGGCCATTCTTTTGGGATTTCAATGTTCAAAGTGCACGAGAAGAAAATTGGGAGAAACCAAAACCTCAAAATGCACTCGTATGTCGAGAAGTACCACCTTAAAAGGACAGTATGAAAAAACCAAAATTAGTACTGAGTAATATAATAATCTCACTGTACTAATGCAAACCACCTGTTGGAGTTTAGCTAGAAATGGTAAAAACTATATGTATTTTGTGTGGCAGCAAGTTTCAAGAATGTATTTGCCATTTGCAGTAAAACCCCATTGGAAAAACTGGTTTTACTGCAAATGTTTGGATCTGATTTGTTGAAATACACAGACTGCTATTTCTCTTAAAAGATTAGAGCCAAAATTAGATACATTTCACCAAACAAACTGGCAACCCCCATTCTGCTCTCTGATTGGATAATGGACTTAACATACTGTATGTATTATGGAGATTTTGTGTTTTTGATTGGGAATAACTCATTAAATCACTTTGAACTGTTCAGAAACGGTTGTACAGTGTCCCCTTCTATCTGGGCCGTGGCAAAAACGTCAAAATTACATGCTTTCCCTTTAATCAAGCTCATATTTGCATGTTTATCCGCATTTCAAAGTCTGTTTCAGATCCTTTTACATCAATATTGAGATTCCCAACGAGCTACAGTAGATTCTCTCAGTTAAAAGCAGCGTTCCTCTTTTTGAAACATATATATTACCAACTCATTTGTTGTAATCCATCCACACGCGGCGCGACATCACAAACTGTCTGTTGCTTGTAATCTCAAAGTGCCGTCATCAAAGCTTGTTTTTAGCACCGTGTTTCTCCTGCCAGCTCGGGAAGCGCGGGGAGAAAAATCGCACTCAAAAACTCTCATTTGGAGCTATAATGACTGTTATCAGGACGACCCCAAATGAAAGGTCTGGGTGTGAACGCAGCGACACTGACACAGGAACATCATTACCGCCTCTTTCGGCTCTGGGTAAAAATGTCTAATTTATTGGCTACATGTATGTAACGCTCTGGGAGGTGCAAGGGCCTCGCTCGGGCTCCTGCTAGTCAACGGCCAATTACACCATGCCCTCGGCACAATGTGGTCCCAAACAAATCCCACGACAGATCTAATATTTATGCGGATTCCCGTGGCTAGATTGCACACAAGGCCTACACTGCAAAAAATGATCAAAAATGAAGTAATTCTGACCGTCTTTAAAGAAGATTGGAGAAAGGAATTTAGTCTCATGGTGTGGATTTTGTGTTATTTTGTACTTTGGCTTTGTTTTGACATCACTTCTCCATAAGATAGCCACGTTTATTTGCCATTTGCAGTAAAACCACATTGGAAAAACTGTGCAAGACTACCCCAGAGATGGCTGTAGTTTAGTTTTGCTTCCTGTCCTGTTCTCTTGTGTTGATTTCTGCCCCGCCCTCATGAGTCTGTGCGTTGATAAGAGTTTACCGTGGTGTATGTAATGTACCCGAGTGAGTAACTAGCATTTAGCCTAGCTTTAGCCATCTCCTTTGCCGCTAACGGAGCCCATGGGGAGTAGAGCCACAACATCTTTGCCTTATTTACAGCCGTATTTGTATTTACAGTCTTGCACTTGCCCAGACTTTGTTGCGGCAAGTGCAATGTACTTCCTAATCTGCACCGCACTAGCACTTTAGCCTCTGTATGCACTTTGTTGCTTATTGTGTGTTGGTTTGTCCTGACGTTGAGAGTGTCTTGTGTGTTTGTGTCCAACAGCTTGAGCCTAAGACCAAAATAAAGTCGAACCTTGAACCTTATTTTTCGGCAGTTATCACTTAGACATTTTTATTATTCCGACTGCAGAAAGAGTCATTTCTGTTGCACAAAATTTGCTCTCCAATGAAAAACTGTTGGGAGACCCTGCAGTACAGATGCATGGATGGATCAATGCACTTTATTAATCTTATAGAGCAGCGGTTCTCAAAGTGTGGTACGCGTAATTTAACCGGGATTGTCCCATTGAGATTAAGAACCTCTTTTTCAAGGGAGTCCTGGACAATTTCACTGACGATGTCTCAAGTGCTCTCAATCTGGATCTAAAAGCAATTTCCAAATCTATGACTTCCTGTTACTTACGTGGCAATAAAAATGATTCTGATTCTGATAAAAGCAGTCAGTGAAATAAGTTCAGATAATTTCCAGTCTTTTGCAACACATTCCATGTAGAAGGAGCAGCAAATACAACGATCATTTTGTGTGAGTAAATGTCAGATGTAAGAGGGCAGCAGACCAAGCCTTCGAAACAAAAGTGCACCAGTGTTCAGACCTTCTGTGGACAAAGATCCCACTCCAGAATATCATTCACAGTGAGTCGAGGCTTTTAAGTTTGATTTTTTAGGGTTTTTTTTCCTATATTTAAGTCTTACTGTTGAAACTGTGTAAAATGATACAATGGCTGACAAAATTAAATATTCTTCTTTAGGAATGAAACCTCTGCCTTGTTTTTGATGAATGCTTAGGCTTACTACGCTACTGTATAGTGTTGGTCATTTGTGGTGATCCTTGGAGAGGCAAGTATTTTCTGATGTGGTACTTGGTGTAAAAAGTTTGAGAACCACTGAGAGAGAGAATTAAAATGTGCCTCCATGCTCTCCATCGGCCTCACGTGCAATCACCCAATCATGTTTTCAAATGTAAAAATCTAAAAAAAACTCACTGAACATTCCACTCACGGATCCGTCCTCGTGAGTCTCGTTCAGGAGCTGTCAGTCTCCCGCCTTTTGTTCAACTTCACACAGTGTTTGACAGAACTTTTAGGCTCAAGTGAATATTTAAATCTCGCCACAAATCTATTCTTAGCTCAGACATTTTTCCTTTTCTTTCCCCATATGCAGTATTACCTGCTGCCACCTGTCGGAGGAGCTGCTGAGCTAACAGAGAGCCCTCTTTGGGATTGAAGGGACATTACGAAAAATAACTGTATTTCCATAGACCACAGTTTCAGGTTGAGGGTTGAATTTCATTAATGCACTAATGCTTAGAGGCAAGGTGTGTTTATTTGTATAGCACTGGGTAGAAGCCTGTCTCACATTTTCAGGAAGACTGTTCCAGATTTTAGCTGCATAAATCTGAAATGATGCCTCTCCCATGTTTAGTTCTGAATCTGGGACCAGCAGGAGGCCAGTCCCTGTGCTCCTCAGAAACCCAGCAGGAGGCCAGTCCCTGTGCTCCTCAGAGTCCCAGCAGGAGGCCAGTCCCTGTGCTCCTCAGAGTCCCAGCAGGAGGCCAGTCCCTGTGCTCCTCAGAGTCCCAGCAGGAGGCCAGGAGGTGCACTTTGAGTTGCACAGTTCATTGTGTATGAACTGTGCTACACAAATAAACTTGCCTTCTCCAGCGCCAGTCTCAGTAGATTTCAATGAGCTCTCTCAGCAGTTTTAACTTATGCCTCACAGCAAGAAGGTCCTGGGTTAAATTGCACTTGTTTGCATGTTCTCCCGGTGTTTGCCTAGATTTCCTCCGGGTGCTCCGGTTTCCCCTACCCCAAAAACATGTGCAATAGATCTGAATGTAACGAGTGAGTTCCGCGTCTCACTTCCAGTTCAGTTCAATTCAGTTCAGTTTCAGTTTATTTATTTGCCATTTGCAGTAAAAACACCACATAGGAATACATTAGCAAAAGTCTCCAGTGTGCACAGACAAATACAGACATAACACAACATTAAAAGACAGAAATAAAACAAATAAAACAGTAAACAAATGTCACTGTGAAATCGATCGACTAAAACAGTTTCAAAACAAGTGCAAATCATTAAAGTGCTCTGTTCACACTGATAACAGCCTGTGGATAAAAACTGTTAGCGTAACGAGATGTCCTGCATCTCAGAGAGCGATATCTTCTGCCAGAGGGAAGAAGCTGGAACATGGCTTTTCCAGGGTGGCCAGGGTGGTTTCCATCTTCACCTTGTGGAGAGAATGGAAAAATATCTGAACTCTGAACATTGTAAAGGGCTTTGGGCGACGTAGATCTGTAAAATGTGCTATATTAATAAACATTACTGACTCATTTAGCACAAACAGCGGCTGGTCTGGTTTGATTTCCTGTCTCTAACTCCTGCCTCTCATCTGTCCGCAGCCTCTCTGGAGTGCAGCCCTTCGTCTCCGTAAAAACCCGGAGAAGCGAGCCGTCACCGCGGACCCTCAAACCGGACCATCCCACACTCCCACCTCTCTCCACTGCAAGAATCTCCATCTGGGAACAGTCCAACACACTCCCAATACATCTCAAGACCTGTCATCCGTGCAATCATCTCCCCCTCGGACCAGAACTTTCCACAACCCCCCGAAAAACCTCAAAGGATTGCTGATATTTGCAGGAAAAAGTAGCACGTCATGACTCCTACACACATTCCTCTTGTGTTTTATCGTCTCCAAACGCAACATTTTACTATTTTCTCCGGTTCGGTTCGAAGCAACGGCCGTCTTTCTCCTCAAATCATCGACGTACAACGGGACGAGAAAGACAAGAAAGGCCAGAGCTACTCCCTTTGACCCAGCTTTGGGACAATCTGCTTTTCACGATCTGGTCACGAATGGACAAAGAAAAAAACCGTAGATTGGAAACACATGGAGAGATTTGAAAAGTCCCAGTGAATCAAAGGGATGAGTAAGTAATAGCGGTAATAGCAGCTGCGGGAGAGCGTCGAGACTAAGAGAATAATCAGAAATTGTTGAGAGATTAGAAGCGTCATATGGTGGTGATTTGGCAACACAACCCGGCCATATTGCGCGGAACAAATCTCCATTGTTGGTGACTCAACAGCGTTTACTTTACTGGAATTATTTGGCAACACTTAATATGTCTCCAGCTAATTAAGATAAACTCCTCCCGTAATGGAATTAGCGCTCGGTTTAGATCGCGCCCGCATAATTATTTCTTCAAATGCCAACAACAGGAGAAAACAATTGTACAGACACAGAAATGTATTTATCATTTATTTTGAGCGCAAACAGCTCGACTCTTGAGAAATCGTATTGTTTGTCTGGGAAGATTTACTCTGGCGTTTAACTTGAAGAAGACCGAGACTGCGTCGAAACAGTCAGAATCAATGAGCCCTAAACAGCAGCAGAAGTTTAGGAGTTTTTAAAGTTGTCAATTCATTAACAACAGATCAGAGACTCAAATAGTTACAGGAATACTGGAAATGCAATTCTAGCAAACATATAGGAGCCATTGGTCCAAAATAGACTTTAAATGTCTGTATTTCAGCCTCAAATTGGTCCATAAAAATGAATATAAATACATGATAGATATATGTCCCGTACATTGGCCAAGACAAATTTTGTTCGGTTGAGTCAAATATATGTAAGCCCTGGCGCTCTGAGTTCCCAAAAACCAGGTATGAACTGGATGGAACCATTTCTAGTCCAAACCATTTAAACCGCATACTACTGAGACACGGCCAGCAGATGCTTTTAAGAGCCCAGGGAGAAGTCACTAACTCTGATCATTGCGATGAGGTATTCAGTTCTTTGCCCCACAAATTGGAACTGTTTTGGTTTTGTTTGTTGACGCTGGAAAGAGTGCGTTTAGAGCAGGGGTGTCAGACTGGTTCAAGAAAGGGCAGGTGTGGCCAGTTTAAGTTGGAACTAAAAAAAACTCTTTACAATCCTTAGATAAAGTCCCTGCTCGTAGACTGGGAGCAGAGCCTTCAGTCCCTGCTCGTAGACTGGGACCAGAGCCTTCAGTCCCTGCTCGTAGACTGGGACCAGAGCCTTCAGTCCCTGCTCGTAGACTGGGAGCAGAGCCTTCAGTCCCTGCTCGTAGACTGGGAGCAGAGCCTTCAGTCCCTGCTCGTAGACTGGGACCAGAGCCTTCAGTCCCTGCTCGTAGACTGGGAGCAGAGCCTTCAGTCCCTGCTCGTAGACTGGGAGCAGAGCCTTCAGTCCCTGCTCGTAGACTGGGACCAGAGCCTTCAGTCCCTGCTCGTAGACTGGGAGCAGAGCCTTCAGTCCCTGCTCGTAGACTGGGACCAGAGCCTTCAGTTCCTGCTCGTAGACTGGGACCAGAGCCTTCAGTCCCTGCTCGTAGACTGGGAGCAGAGCCTTCAGTCCCTGCTTGTAGACTGGGAGCAGAGCCTTCAGTCCCTGCTCGTAGACTGGGACCAGAGCCTTCAGTCCCTGCTCGTAGACTGGGACCAGAGCCTTCAGTCCCTGCTCGTAGACTGGGAGCAGAGCCTTCAGTCCCTGCTCGTAGACTGGGACCAGAGCCTTCAGTCCCTGCTCGTAGACTGGGACCAGAGCCTTCAGTCCCTGCTCGTAGACTGGGACCAGAGCCTTCAGTCCCTGCTCGTAGACTGGGACCAGAGCCTTCAGTCCCTGCTCGTAGACTGGGACCAGAGCCTTCAGTCCCTGCTTGTAGACTGGGAGCAGAGCCTTCAGTCCCTGCTCGTAGACTGGGAGCAGAGTCTTCAGTCCCTGCTTGTAGACTGGGAGCAGAGCCTTCAGTCCCTGCTTGTAGACTGGGAGCAGAGCCTTCAGTCCCTGCTTGTAGACTGGGACCAGAGCCTTCAGTCCCTGCTCGTAGACTGGGACCAGAGCCTTCAGTTCCTGCTCGTAGACTGGGACCAGAGCCTTCAGTCCCTGCTCGTAGACTGGGAGCAGAGCCTTCAGTCCCTGCTCGCTAGACTGGGAGCAGAGCCTTCAGTCCCTGCTCGTAGACTGGGACCAGAGCCTTCAGTCCCTGCTCGTAGACTGGGACCAGAGCCTTCAGTCCCTGCTCGTAGACTGGGAGCAGAGCCTTCAGTCCCTGCTCGTAGACTGGGACCAGAGCCTTCAGTCCCTGCTCGTAGACTGGGACCAGAGCCTTCAGTCCCTGCTCGTAGACTGGGACCAGAGCCTTCAGTCCCTGCTCGTAGACTGGGAGCAGAGTCTTCAGTCCCTGCTTGTAGACTGGGAGCAGAGCCTTCAGTCCCTGCTTGTAGACTGGGAGCAGAGCCTTCAGTCCCTGCTTGTAGACTGGGACCAGAGCCTTCAGTCCCTGCTCGTAGACTGGGACCAGAGCCTTCAGTTCCTGCTCGTAGACTGGGACCAGAGCCTTCAGTCCCTGCTCGTAGACTGGGAGCAGAGCCTTCAGTCCCTGCTTGTAGACTGGGAGCAGAGCCTTCAGTCCCTGCTCGTAGACTGGGACCAGAGCCTTCAGTCCCTGCTCGTAGACTGGGAGCAGAGCCTTCAGTCCCTGCTCGTAGACTGGGACCAGAGCCTTCAGTCCCTGCTCGTAGACTGGGAGCAGAGCCTTCAGTCCCTGCTCGTAGACTGGGACCAGAGCCTTCAGTCCCTGCTCGTAGACTGGGAGCAGAGCCTTCAGTCCCTGCTCGTAGACTGGGAGCAGAGTCTTCAGTCCCTGCTTGTAGACTGGGAGCAGAGCCTTCAGTCCCTGCTTGTAGACTGGGAGCAGAGCCTTCAGTCCCTGCTTGTAGACTGGGACCAGAGCCTTCAGTCCCTGCTCGTAGACTGGGACCAGCAACACAGAATAGAGTCCGTACTTTAGCATACTGTGTGTTCTTCTGCTTTGTATACACACTCAATGATCTATAGCCCATTATTGTAGCTTTAGTGCAGGCAAGAGACAAAAACCAGACTCTTGTAGTTATAAATTAGCATTAGGGCTAAGCATTATTAGCTTTGTGGAGACACGCTGCAAAAACATAAACAGTAATCCATAATAATGTTAACTTATATATTTCTATCTTTGTCCATTTGTGATTGTATCTGGAAAACAAATTAAATACAATCACCAACTTCCCACACACACACTTACATTTGTACTTGAAAGTTTACACACCCAGCCAGAGATTTTGGCCAAAGTTTATGAAGGATAACACACACAAAAACTCATTGTTAATTGTTGTGTGGAATTGAAAAGCTTTCCTTTACAATCCGTGATCTTCCTCAGCTCCAACTACGTCAAACCTCATGTATTTTACAGACCGTAGCAAAACCAGTGGACTCTCTCATCCGAACCCTCTGTCAGGACGCCGGAGAATATCCCCCGGGCGTCAGTAGCATCTTTAAACAACTGTAAGTGTCTGTGGTCGCTCCGTGTTTGTGCAACTGTCCGGGATCACGGAAACCTCACTGTGAAACCAAACAAACGGGATCATGAACTGTTTGAACCGCTGCTTCGTCAACGACTTGGTTAAAACGGCTTGAATTCAGAAGTGATGACAACATTCTTCTCCTTACTTTTATGGACATTTATCAAGACTTATGGACGTTGGTCATCTGCCTTTTATGGAACAATACAAAAAATAAACATTTTTATTTTATTGGTGAATATGCAATTTTGAAATTTCAATCACGTCATCATTTTTAAACTGAATGTTTAGTGACTGAAACGCAAGATGCTTTTTCGGGGTTGAAAATTTCAATAGAAAAAAAAAAGCTCCACCAAAAGTTGTCCATAAAATGCAATCATAGAAAACACATAGAAGCCGTTGTTCTACAGGTCGAGGGATGACCACTGTCCATAGATGTGAAGAAATGTCCAGAAATGTCCTGGTTCTAGTAACTTTATATAACCACCCATTGCAACGAAAAGTACGGGAGACAGTCTGAATTTCAGCTATTTTAACATATGTAAGATTGTAACTTTCTAGTGTTGTTTGTCCGTAAGGGGAAATCTCAAACCGATTCCGAAGAGTTAGACGTGTGTACAAAGTGAAGCTAAAAGGGCTCGTGGACCGACTTTCTGCGGCTGACGAAGAGATGAAAAACTCGGACATGGACGCTGAGATAAAGAGGCTTTTTCCATCTGTGTTTCTTCCGCTTCGTCCGCTCCCCACAGCGTTGAGACTATTTTTAGATGAAATAACCTCGAAACAGCTTAGAAATTGTCGGTGTTTTGTGCGTGAATCTCCTGGGACCTGAATCTGTCTGTGGAAATGGCCAGTCACTGTTGTCGTCTGCCTAAAGCATCGGGACTATCGTGGTTTTGGCACCAAGTGAATTTATTATGTGCAATATTGTACTTTGAGACCGCGCCATGTTGTCTGTGTATTGTATGTGTACAATGAAGTAGCATGAAACTCTGGGTCTGTTGCTTTGTGGAATGACGACATTATGTTTACAATATCAAAAGGAGGCACACGCAGAAGAAAGCCTTTGAAGGATCAGTGTATTTCTTCAAAGTATTATTTATAATATACTTCAAATGTGAAGAATTGTTTTTGGAATACTCTTTAAACAAACATCATTTTTTTGTAGCAGCAGCGAGAAAAGACCTGTGGAACCTCTCCTTCTCAAAAGCTTTTAAAGGAGCTATATGTAAAATGTTCATGTAAAGTCATCATTAAAGGGCCCTAATCTGTCAACATTAAAGGGTCCTTTTCTGTCATCATTAAAGGGCCCTAATCTGTCATCATTAAAGGGCCCTAATCGGTCATCATTAAGGGCCCTAATCTGCCCTCATTAAAGGGCCCTAATCTGTCATCATTAAAGGGCCCTAATCTGTCATCATTAAAGGGCCCTAATCTGTCATCATTAAAGGGCTCTAATCTGTCATCATTAAAGGGCCCTAATCTGCCCTCATTAAAGGGCCCTAATCTGTCATCATTAAAACGCCCTAATCTGCCCTCATTAAAGGGCCCTAATCTGTCATCATTAAAGGGCCCTAATCTGTCAAAGGCATTAATAAAAAATGCTCTAGTGCTTTAACTGATAACAGTAGTTCAGAGATATTCAAATTTCTAAATTAGTTTTCCAGCCCCTAAATCTTGTTATTGTTTTCATTTTGATGTCCCGCCCTCCACCGTTTCACCAATCAGAAAGTCTGTGATCCGGGCGCCAGAACTCACCGCGTGGAGCTAATCTCACTGGTAAAGTACCATGTGGCGCAGAACTAAAAAAGGTCTTGTTATGATTCTCAAATCATTAACGACAAAACAAGGAATAAAACCAGGATTTCTATCTTTGTCAAAAAGGTGTTGGTTATAGATTTGTTGTTGACAAAACTCTTGTCTATTCAGCTGTTATGGTCCCAGCTGGATTCGTCTGCATATCTGGCAACCTGAGTCAGGGAGAGTGGGAGAGGCTGCAGTACCACTTTTGGCCACATGTTTACACACTGCTCCTTTAAAACCCGTTCAAAGATACTCAAGTTATTATATTTTTTAATCAATTTGAGGAGGATTGTGTGAGACATGGCATCTGGAACAACATCGCTGTGTGGTCAAAGTATCAGCAGTATTTTCCGTATAAAACACAGTTAATAAAGTATATCCATCAATCCAGTCTGCTTTGTTTTGTCTTTTAAATAAATGCATTGATTGTTTGTGTACAAAGTTTTACTATTTTTTTTTATTATACAAACGGTAAAAGCTGCAGAAGATGCAAATGTTTCGAAGCTCTAATGATTTTAAAGAACATACAGTGCCTTGCGAAAATATTCGGCCCCCTTGAACTTTTCAACATTTCGCCACATTTCAGGCTTCAAACATAAAGATATAAAAATGTAATTTTTTGTCATGAATCAACAACAAGTGGGACACAATCGTGAAGTGGAACGAAATTTATTGGATAATTTAAACTTTTTTAACAAATAAAAAACTGAAAAGTGGGGTGTGCAATATTATTCGGCCCCTCTACTATTCAGTGCAGCAAACTCAGTCCAGAAGTGCAGTGAGGATCTTTGAATGATCCAATGTTGTCCTAAATAACTGATGATGATAAATAGAATGCACCTGTGTGTAATCAAGTCTCCGTATAAATGCACCTGCTCTTTGATAGTCTCAGGGTTCTGTTTAAAGCGCAGAGAGAACCATGAAGACAAAGGAACACACCAGGCAGGTCCGAGATACTGTTGTGGAGAAGTTTAAAGCCGGATTTGGATACAAAAAGATTTCCCAAGCTTTAAACATCTCAAGGAGCACTGTGCAAGCAATTATATTGAAATGGAAGGAGTATCAGACCACTGCAAATCTACCAAGACCCGGCCGTCCCTCCAAAACTTTCATCTCATACAAGGAGAAGACGCAGATGCAGCCAAGAGGCCCATGATCACTCTGGATGAACTGCAGATAACTACAGCTGAGGTGGGGATGGTGTGTTCAGGGTGATGAGCTGTGTTGCTTTTACGCCAAACATATCGTTTTGCATTGTGGCCAAAAAGTTCGATTTTGGTTTCATCTGACCAGAGCACCTTCTTCCACATGTTTGGTGTGTCTCCCAGGTGGCTTGTGGCAAACTTTAAGAGACTTTTATTGGATATCTTTGAGAAATGGCCACTCTTCCATAAAGGCCAGATTTGTGCAGTGCACGACTGATTGTTGTCCTATGGACAGACTCTCCCACCTCAGCTGTAGTTATCTGCAGTTCATCCAGAGTGATCATGGGCCTCTTGACTGCATCTCTGATCAGTCTTCTCCTTGTTTGAGATGAAAGTTTGGAGGGACGGCCGGGTCTTGGTAGATTTGCAGTGGTCAATATAATTGCTTGCACAGTGCTCCTTGAGATGTTTAAAGCTTGGGAAATCTTTTTGTATCCAAATCCAGCTTTAAACTTCTCCACAACAGTATCTCGGACCTGCCTGGTGTGTTCCTTTGTCTTCATGGTTCTCTCTGCGCTTTAAACAGAACCCTGAGACTTCTTCTTCTTCTTCTTCTTCTTTGACTGCTTAACGGCGGATGCGAACTGACTTAGCGCACTACCGCCACCCTCCAGATAGATTGCGTCTGATCAACCATATGGCTCACATCCTTTATAAAAACCTGTAGCCTGCAAGCTACAGAGAAAAAAACAAAACCAACCCTGAGACTATCAAAGAGCAGGTGCATTTATACGGAGACTTGATTACACACAGGTGCATTCTATTTATCATCATCAGTCATTTAGGACAACATTGGATCATTCAAAGATCCTCACTGAACTTCTGGACTGAGTTTGCTGCACTGAAAGTAAAGGGGCCGAATAATATTGCACGCCCCACTTTTCAGTTTTTTATTTGTTAAAAAAGTTTAAATTATCCAATAAATTTCGTTCCACTTCACGATTGTGTCCCACTTGTTTTTGATTCATGACAAAAAATTAAAATTTTATATCTTTATGTTTGAAGCCTGAAATGTGGCAAAATGTTGAAAGGTTCAAGGGGGCCGAATATAAACTGTATATAATAATAAATCATGTGTGTTCACTTTGGTCCCTGAACTTGAACGGATAAACTTGTAAAACATAAAGAATAGATCCAAGTGAAACAATTGTGTATCAGTTAGAATGGTTAGAAATCTTTGAAAAAATTACATTATTTGGAGAAAATGCCTAAACTAATTCACAGAAACTACTTTTATTTAAAAAGCAAAAAACAGCTCTGTTCTTAACTTTATATTCTAATTATCATGATTGAGTATCGAGTTTGGGTTTGGGGTATGTGGACCAGGGGAGTCAAACTGGTCCTCAAAAGGGCCGCTGCAGGTTTTCACTCCAACCAACCCGGAGCACACACCAGACTCTTCAAGTGAACCCAGGTTTAAGGTTTTTCAGAAATGGGTGGAGTCTGGTGTGTGTGCTCCTGCTTGGTTGGAAATAAAATAACAGAAATGCATGATGAATAAATGTAAAAAGTTAATTTGTCTTTTGTTTGAGGCTTAGAAAGTTATTATAATAAGAGAAAGAAGGGACAGAAGAATGTAAATACAAAAAACATGATACGAGAGGAGATTGAAATCAGGAAGCGGGGCGCAGGGACCATCAACAGAGTCGAGGGGGCCTTCACCTTGGCTCACACTTGGGATTCACTTCTCCAGAGACCACAGGGGGGCGTGGTCAGTCTGAGGGGGCGTGGTCAGCTTGACGGATCTGTGAAACCTGTGTCAGACTCACCACATCCGGCAACAACAGCTGATTATCACACCGTAAAAGTGTCTCTGACGAAGGCGGAAGTCCACGTCCGAAACATGTGGTAAGGAAGCAGTGCTCGCTTTCTTTACTTTTTTGTCTGAACGGCATAAGTTTTTCCCAAAGAGGCTCCATTTTGACATTTTAATCTCTTTATAACTTCAAAGTGAATAGAGACAGAATAAATGTAACTAAAATAAATGATGAGGATGGCCCAAAGTTCATGTAAGAATTAAATGTACCAATCTATTTTGCATATTATGACTCAATTTTCTTCCCCTTAATACATTTCTGGGTCGGGGGGGTTGGCAATCAGGGATGCCACCCAGTCCACAGAGCACCAGCCCCTCACTGATCCTCCTGCAGGTGCTCAGTCCACAGGAGGACGGCTGCACTATAGTCTGAGCTGCCTTGATCGCTCAGCTGGGGCTTCAGGCAAAGTGGAGATAAGTGTCTTGCCCAAGGACACAACGACCTCAGTGGTGGTGGCAATCATGGATTTTCTGGATTATTATTTTAATTGACAGACATACGTATCACTAGGACATGTACACACAAACAGAACTCATGTTGCACCATGCTGAGTGGTCGGGGAATAGTAAAATAGAGCAAATGATAGTGTGGCAGGGAGTTTGAATGAATGTTGACACCCTGCTTGACAGAATTGGCCGTTTTAAACAGTTCCATGTTGTCGATTTAAGTCAACAGTGGCACCTACAGGGTTAAAAGAACCTTCTAAGACAGAAATTACCTAATATTAGCGCAAATAAAAACATAAACTAACTCAAACAGCGGCGGTTAAACACACACAAGATATTTTTTGCATGTATCGCGTCTCTCCTCGCCCTAAACACACGTATATCCAGACGTTTCATCCACTTTAATGTTCTTTATC